CATATACATATATATATATATAATAAAACAATACATCCCGTCGTGCCGAATCTGTAGGCGATCTCGATCGTCGCGCAAGCGGATCATTCCTCAAAATCGTGAAGCGGGAAGCACGGCCTCCCGTTAAAGCCCGACAATTGGTAAAACGATTATCTCCTTTCGCGATTATTCAACGCCCGTAATTCCGAGGCCGGCTCTATTATCGCAGCGATGATCATTCTTTTCCGGAGAGATCCCGTCGAAAGACTTGCGAGAGACAGCACCGACAGCGACCTACCGCAACAGCGAGCCAGCGCTACGTCATCATGCGAATTGCAACTGTAATGTAAGTTATAGAAAATTAAGGCGAGCGCAATAGATGTTAAAGCGATTAGATAGATGTCGAACGAGGAAGTTAATCAAACTCTCGTAGAAAGAAACACGTCGTGGCTACACCGCGAGTCAGCCAACCAAGCGCTCAGTCCGAGTCCCCCGAGTCTCGAGCAGACAGAAAATTCACGCGAATTTAAACGATCATTACTCTGACGATAGTCTAACGAATCAACCGGAGTACATCTGAATATTGTAATTGAACACGTATTCTCGTTTAGCGACATAGACAATAGTATATTACCGGATAGCGAGAGACGCGACGACGCTCTACTACGACTGGTAGACGCACAGATCTGACAATAGTGATGGTACGAATGCAAGTAATCCTAGTCGCGGAGAATTTTCGCTAACTTTCTACGATAGTATAGTAATAGATAGTATTCGATCCAAATTTCATATCGCCTCACGGAACGCAAACTTGGCGGAAATGGCAAATCAGTCCTCAGGCATGCCATTAAGACCGATCGCGGAAGAACGACAAGTAATAAGTAGAGAATTGGAAGACGAAGTAAAAAGAATGAGAACCACTAAAGTGTCAGCCGCATTGAAAACCCGATCCGCACGATACGAGAGACATAATGTTGGCCGAGTTATTAGAAGGCATGCGAGCGTTCACAGAGCCGCATAAGCCAATTAGAAGTCATAAATTACGATCGGAATGCAGAAAATGACGAACCGATAGAAATGACGGGCGTACAATGGACGACGTCAGAAATTCGCGAGGCCCCGTGAATACATTTATGAAACTAAAAGAAGCACACAATATGATCCCAGAGATGAATGGATCGTCGCGAAATTCAAAAATTTTTAAACGCGAGCACTTACGCGACGAGCGAAATAAATCCTGCCGACGAAAAATCATTATTGAAAGCGATCCTATGCACGAAACTAACAGGAAAGGCTATGCACGATTTCCAAACGAGGGATATACGCACGTTCGCGCAATTGAAACAAGAAATCGAGATGTGTTACCTGGCAAAGCGTAGTATCATACAAATTCAGCTAGAATTTAACATAATTCGCCAAAATCCGGAGAAAGCGCGCGAGAATATAGGTTCCGCATAGATACAATCTAGTGATGGAGCTATTAGTCTACCATAAGAAGACCGAGAGCACATCGCTGAACAACGGAAGGCAATTCTAGATACGATTCAGGAATTAGCATTAGAAAACTTCCAATTAAGCGAAAAAATACAAACCTTTAATGCGTTCCAGGAATTATACAAATTTAACAGCCGCGATTCTAGGCCTTACAGCCGAAAAAAAATTAAAAGGCAGTCAACCTATCAAAGTTTACAATAACGAGAAAACAAGGGGCAATCAAGAACAGAATAGAAACCGCAATTAAAAATTGGAGTGCCACAAATGCGGTAGTCATCTGGCGCGTGATTGTCGTTCGAGCCAATACGACTAGATATTCGCTAGCCGAACGACCAGCAAACGTAAATAATATTGAGAAATACTGTTTGTATTGCAAAAAAAACAGGCCATAAGCGCGACGAGTATTGGTCACTGAACGGACACCCGAGAAGGGAATAGCCAAGACGAACAAAACAAGAGAACAGAAAAGGGCGACAAATAAATACCGCCGTAATAATGAAAAGGAATAAGCAGCGAAAAGAGAACGATGAACTGCCGTTCATCAATAGCGGCGACAATGAAGAAGAAAAAAGAGAACGCGAGTCGTACACGAGCATCAAGTGACAAGTAAATACGCCACACACGAACGCCATATTAGACTTGATTACCTTGTCGATTCGAGAGATGAAAAAAGGAAAAATGAGTTT